GACCCGAACACCAGGTAGGTAGGGCGTGAATGATTCAAGGACAGCCAGCAGAATCCCACATAGAAGCACAGCTATCATTTGCTTCTCTGACTCTTCTTTTTTCTCTGCCCCATGATGGATCAGTTCCTATGATCTTTCTTTAGGCAGTTTAATGGTCATGTAGGCTATAGTCTAGTCTTACAGCCTATGAGCCAATCTTTCCCTTTAGGGCAGTTGAGTCCTCTCACATTTTTGTTCATGAGATCATGCTTTTATCTGTGGTTGTTCTATGGCATTCTTACTTCCAAAAGATTGTTAACAGGGGAGGTGTCCTCACATAGACACTGTGGGCTTGCTTGGAGTTTTTGCTTCCCGAGATGGTTTGTTGTTTGCTAAGCACCAAAAGGAATTTGTTCTAAGATCATCATTGCACCCTCGGATCAAATGGCTGGACTCTAAGGCAGCATTTATAGGAGGCCTCCAGGGTAGAATTATATGCTAAACAGAAATGTTCTGTAGTTGAAAAAATATACACTCCCTTCTTAAGTTCTCCCTGACAATGCCTTCTTGCAATTCATATTTTTCAGCTATGTTTGATTTTAAGATACTTTAGGGGTAGATGTTGCTTTTTGGGATTTTATTAATAGTATTACTTTTTTTTAAATGAGTCTTTTGAAGTCTCTTTCATTATAAACAGCCTGTTTTCCCCAGAGATAACAACTTGCAGTGTGAGATATTTGGATTTCACTTGAAACAAAACCAAGGGTTTGAATGTTTTAAATATAAGCAAATCTAATTCTCCTGTGTCTAGAGAAACTGTATAATGAACCATATGTCTGTGGCTTAAGCACACAGATGTGAAAGATTCTCTCTCTCTCTCTTTTTATGTTTTCTTGAAAACACTGCCAGAGCTCAAAATTGGCACCAAGTACCAAAGATCTCCACCGAGCCAACCAAACCACTAGAGATGGGGTTAAACTGGGGGTGCTTCTTGGGTGCACATGGAGGTGGAGCTACTCCTGGTTCTGGCTTCTCTTCAGAGGTGCAAGGCTCACTGCTCCCCCATCTCCATTTCTCAGAGCCTCTAGTCTTTGCAAGTAGACATCCTCTCTTAGGTGACTGACTTTTCAGATCTTTGATTATTATGGTTGCCTTTTGGGTTCATTGAGGTTGGCTCAGATGGTAAAGAATCAGCCTGCAATGCAGGAGAACCCAGGTTTGCCATCTCATCACAGAGACCAAATACAGGGAACCATCTCCTCCAAATGAACTCAAAGTGAAAGTGAAGTGTTAGTCGCTCAATCATGTCTGACTCTTTGTAACCCCATGGACTGTAGCCCAGCAGGCTCCTCTGTCCATGGGATCCTTCAGGCAAGCATACTGGAGTGGGTAGCCATTCCCTTTTTTCTAGGGGATCTTCCTGACCCAGGGATCAAACCCGGATCTCCAACATTGCAGACAGACTCTTTGCTGCCTGAGCTACCAGGGAATAGATCAGCTTTGTTTTGGAATATTTTGGCTTCAGGTATGTGAAATGTGATCTGCTCCTTCCATATGCCTTTACCTGTCTCTGAAATCACTCACTTAATGGATGAGTAACTTGAGACCTCTCCATAGAGATCAGACCATGAGACTGACAGGTATGTCTGTTGATAGATCTCAAGCTTTAAAAGATGAAATGAACTTATAGGCTTTCTTTCATTAAGGACAGCTTAGAGTAGTGTTTCTGCGTCTCTTTCAATATAAGATATAACCCTGAAGTTATTAGAGCCTGTCAGTAAGTGGCCTTCACCTGACTTGTAGTGTCTGTGCTGTGCCTGCTAGGGGCTGTGCGTGGAATGAAGGCTTAGATGATACTGTTCTTGCCCTCCAGATTGAAACCTGAATGAAGATATTTAACAACACTTTAAATGTTCAAAAACTGTATGACACTTACCATATTTATAATAAGGATTCACATTGTAAGATGCTCAAATCACTTGGTTTGTCAAATCAGTTGAAATCATGCAGTGAGAAGCAAAGGGAAAGAGATTGGGGTCAATGAATGTGTTTTGTGCGAGCTGGTAGAAGGGCCACACCATATACAGGTTGCCCTATGTTCACATGTCCTCCCTTGTTGGAAGGCACTTTTGGTTTTAAGGAGTGGGAACTCTTCCTGTCAGCTTAAGTTTTCTTGAGAAGGAGAAAGGGGTTGGGGTTCTCATGGGAATCCAAAAAATGAGAGACAAAGAGTGGCCCAGTGGTCCCCAGTAATGGGAGCTCTTGGTTATTCATATTTATTCTGCTGTTACCAGGCTTTGCCCTAGTTGAGGTGACTTTAGTGTCCATTTACCTTTTGGCTCCCAACAACCACCTTTACCCCAGACTCCTTCTAGTACTTCTGTACCTCACAGGTTCTGCTTGTGCTTGGTTCTGGCTCTCTCATGACTTTAAGTTCAAGCTGGCCCCAGCTTGACACCACAGCTCTGCTGTACATCTGCTCAGGGTCTGCTTTCTCTGCTGGTTGATCTTTCCACTTTTATCTACATCCCCAAGAATGAGCATCTGGCCCAGCTTGTTCTCTCTAAAGAAGAGCTTTCTACACCAGAGCATCCTGTGCGCCCACCCGCCCTTACTCAGGCATGAGGTGGGCCTTGTAGTGCACATGTGGTACCAGACCCATCTTTGTAGCAGAGCTGGGGGGCTGGGGAGCAGGCAGCACCTCTGCAGTGCCTGTGGGCCTGGCAGGTATATCAGAGAGCCCTTCAGGGCCATGGAGCTTGAGAATGGGTAGGATTTGTGCAGACTGGGATCAGAGAAAGAGTGTTTTGGGGAGAAGACACAAATCTGATCCTTGAGGAGAGAGCATATGGCCTATCAGAAGCCTGCTATGTGACCAAGGAGGAGGCTGGATTATAAGGGTCATAAAAGCAAGGTGGAGGAGGTGAATTTGTTTTATTGAGTAACAGGTCATACTGTAAGCTTTTAAGCAGAGAAAATCAATCACTTTCTCCTTTTTATTCCTGATTTCTACTGTCAGATTAGACTTCCTTGGTAGCTGAGCTGGTAAAGAATCCACCTGCCATGCAGGAGACCCAGGTTCGATTCCTGGGTCAGGAAGATGCCCTGGAGAATGGAGAGGCTACCCACTCCAGTATTCTTGGGCTTCCCTGGTGGCTCAGACAGTAAAGAATCTGCCTGCAATGAGGGAGACCTGGGTTCCATCCCTGGGTTGGGAAGATCCTTGGAGGAGGGGCATGGCAATCTACTCCAGTATTCTCACCTGGAGAATCCCCATGGACAGAGGAGCCTGATGGGCTACAGTGCATGGGATCACAAAGAGTCGGACATGACTGAGCAACTAAGAACAAGAGACTACTGATGCCACTCAGGAGTCAGGTAATATGAGAGAGGAAATAGTGTGAGCAGATGGTCATGGGATTGGGAAAAGAACAAGCATGGGCTGATGCTAACGATTGGGTATGGCAGCTTTGGTTCTAGGCATGAAAGGGAGTGTATTCTAGAGGGGAGTAGAAGCGTCCATGTTAGTACCAAGGAATGCAGCAGCCAACACCTAGCATGGAAATTTTGGTAACAGATTAAAAAAAAACTCTGCATTTATCTGCTGACTCCAGGAATTCTGTGAAGTCTATGGGCATGTCCCTTAAACTCTCTGAGCGTCAGTTTTCATCTCGGAAAATGATACTACTAACTCCTGTGGCTACTTCTCAAAAGTTTGAGGTACTCAGGTGAGATAGAGGGTGAAATACTTTGTGAGTTTCAAAACACTCTTTGAATTTAAGGCATTAACTAATGGATAATGACTTCCAGGGCATTTAAAAATGGTTTGATTAACATTTAGTGGAAACTCATCTAGTATGAAAACTTCAAAGATGGCATCTCAAGGTTATATTACAACTCAAGCTTTTATAGACTTGTTTCTTCTCTGAATGGCATTAGAGGAGAGTCAAGTGTTCCTGGGAAGAATTACTTCCAAAATGGGGTGTGTGTGTGATGGGGAATTTGGCGCAGGGGACAGAGATGATCTACTGTTTTTTTTCTGCGCTAGTGACTAGAATACCTTCCTAATGATTAGTTCCTTGATAGTGTGTTCAAGAAGCAGGCAGCTTGATGGCTCATTTTAGTAGTAATACTTCTCCTTTCCTAGTCTCCTTTTGTCTTAAAGGCTTACCCTCCTTATTCCATGAAGGTGGCGTTCCCAAGAAGCACCTTAACCCCAGGCTAGATGGGAGGGATGGAACAAAGCTCTGGGCTGCTCTTTCCAGAATCACCATTTTTGCTTCTTTTCCAGTTCCCTTGCAGAGCTTGTTCTCCTGCACTACTACACAGGTTCTGTTTCCTTAAATTCTCAAATTTGGCTTGCACGCCCCCTAGTGGCAGGTCAGATGCACCCCTTGCTACCCTGTTTGTTGCAGTATCATGACAGCCCATCTCTGCACTCCACCCTATTACTAAGTAGAACCCCCAGTTCACAAATATGGAATGAGAGGTTTGGTGATTCTGACTTGCCATTCAGGTGGGACCTAGGGACATGGGACTTTATCCTGAGCATTTGATTCCCAGATTTATACAATGGGAATGCCTCAGAAAAAAAGATGATGTAGTTACAACTGTTCTAGATTTTTTAAAAAAATGAGTTAAAAAGAGTCTAGATTATTTTACTGTCTGCTCAGCTAATTTGAAAGGATCAAAATGTGGCAAATATTTGAAGAAAAGAATGATTGTACTTTCCCCCTTCATCACATTGATAAATCTTTTGTCACGCATCCGAGTGTTCAATATTTCATGCTTAATCCTGTTACCAACTTTGGAGAACACACACACGAAAATGTATAAAGCATGATGTCTGCCCTTCAGAAGTTTATGTTCACATTAAACTCTAGTCACGAGGTGTTCAAATTTATTCCCTTGAGAAAAAAATAAGTATAATCCTTGGTAACTTTTATTGGGGTTTAATAGTTCTACTTCATTTCACAAAAGACAGATTCTGTGAGCATTTGCTTATTGATTTCTTTTTAAAGTCCTTTTCAGTGGAGAGAGAACTGCAGGATAACAACACTAGTTACCCAGACGAACCCTGGAGGATAACAGAAGAGCAGCGCGAGTACTATGTCAACCAGTTCCGGTCCCTGCAGCCTGATCCGAGTTCCTTCATTTCAGGTAATGAAGTGTGGTGGGTGAGATCACAGGTCCCAGCTCACTGTCTCACATAAATAACAGTGCCCATCTTAAGAAATAGTCCATTCAAAATGAGTACAAAAACCTATGATTTCAGTTTGTTTTTCTCTGAGGTTGAATTTCTTACCAACTATAATCTGTGTAGAAAAATACTTGGCAATGGTATTTGGAAGTTTGTGTTTCCGTTTCAAAGGAGTTAAATGGGAATATGAAGCATCCTGGTCCAGATCCTGTGCCTTATTAGCTGGAGCAGTTCCTGAAATGAGTGTTACACCAAGGTGACACCTTTAATTGCTTACTCATTACATTGGTATTAGAGCAAGGGCGAAGTGTAGCCTCCCAATGAGTTGCTGTCACAGTTCTTCTTATGTTATATACACGTTAGAGTTCAAGTTCATGCTCATTTTCTTTGACTCCAGTCTTTCTCTGGTTTTTCTGAGAGAAAAAAATTGGAGGAAAATTGACTAGCGTTTTTATGTCCACATATTAGTTCTTCTGGAGTATCTTCAGAAGTGTATATTCCTGTTGAGTTCTCATGCAAAATTCAAGCTGAGAGGAATTGATTTAGTTCCTACGTGCCTATATTTCACCTGGCTGAAGACTAAACAAGTTGAAATAGTAGAATCTGGAAGAAAAATTCATAGAACTTTCTTTTTATATTTCAATTGTGAAGAATGACAGTATGTCCTTGATAGTTGTTACCTGACACTTTGCAGTGTGGACTAAAATTAATTTTCTCTCCTAACATATGGTGTGTAGTTGGAATATACCTGTATAAACACAGATATCATTGTCTGATTGGTAGTAATGACTTTATTTGAAGGCAGAATGTTGTAGATACAACAAATTAATGTTGACAAAATGATTTTAAAAAAACCCCCAGAAACCCAGATTTTATGTATTGACCACATGCTCATTTTATACACTGCTTAAATGAGTTTCTTCACAATGTATACAGATATTTAGCCAAATGAAAATAGGTACTTGTTAGGAATGTTTTTATTTTCTTTCAAACCTTTATATCTCACTGACTTTCAAATACAAACAAAACTCTAGTGGCTAGTATAACAAACCTCTATGTACTTATCACTCAACTCTCACAATTTGGTTTTATCTATAGCCTCTCTGAGCCTTGATGGTTTTGAAGCAATTTCCAGACCATTTCATTTGAAAATATTTCAGGATGTATATGTAAAGATAAGACCTCTATTAAAAACATAACCACAACTCATTGGCACATTAAAAAAAACATAAAATAACCCACAAAATGCTTAATTATCAAGTCTTGCTCAGATTTCCCTGATTGTCTCGCAACTGCCTTTTCAAAATTTTAGTTTGATCAAGGGCAGGAGAGGTTCATACATTGCAATTAATTGATGGCCCCTTTTAAAAAACATTTTAATTTAGATATAGTCTACATACTGTAAGATTCACCCATTTAAAGTGTACAATTCAATGTTTTTAGTATAGTCACAATCTAGATGTAGAACTCTCAGAGATAGTGGAGGATAGAGGAGCCTGACATGCTTCAGTCCACGGGGTAGTAAAGAATCAGATATGACTTAACAACTGAAGAACAACAGATTTAAAACACTTCCCTCCAAACCACCTATTTACTAGTATTTATTTCCCATTCCTGCTTTCCCTACCACCCCTCCCTTAGCCTTGGGTTGCCATTTTAAACTACTTTCTCTGTCTATAGAGTTACCAGTTCTGGGCTGGTCATATAAATGAAATTGTGTAATATGTATTTTTTGGTGTGTGACCTCTTTTACATAGCATAATGTTTTTAAGATTCATCCATGTTGTGGTATATACCAGAACTTCACTCCTTTTTATGACAATATCCTTCCATTGTATGGATAGACCACATTTTATTTATCTTTTCATCATTTGATTGACTTTTGGGTTGTTTTCTCTTTTTGGCTATTAGGAGTAATGTTGCGTTGAACATTTATGTACAGGTTTTTGTGTAGATGTATGTTTTTGTCTCTCTTGGATATATACCTAAGAGTAGAATAGCTGGCTTATATGATAACTCTATATTTAACCTTTTCAGAACCAGTCAGACTATTTTCCAAAGTAACTGCACCACTTTACATTGCCACCAGCAGTGTCTAAGGGTTCTAATTACTCCACATCCTTGCCAACACTTGTTACTATCTTTTGGTTGTATCCACCTTAGTGAATGTGAAGTGATATCTCTTTGTAGATGAAGAATGACACTGAGCATCTTTTTATGCTCTTGTTGGCCATTTGTATATCTTCTTTGGAGAAATTCCTATTCAGATCCTTTTCTGTATTTAAAATTTTTCTTAGTTTTTGGCCATACCTCGCAGCATATGGTGTCTTCATTCCCCAGTCAGAGGACAAATCCGTGTTCCCCACTGTGGAAGCATAGACTCTTAACCACTGGAACACCAGGAAAGTCCCTCCTTTGCCATTAAAAAAAAATTGTTGAGTGGTAAGAATTCTCTATGTATTCTAGATACAAATTCTCTAGACGTATGATTTGAAAATATTTTTTTCCCAGTCTGTGGCTTGTCCTTTTATTTTTCTAACAGTGTCTTGCAAAGCAAAAAGTTTAATTTTGATGTTCAGATTATTTTTTCTTTCGTTGCTTGCACGACAATCATATCTAAAAAAAATCAGTGCTTAATTCAAGGTCATGAAAAAGTATGTGTTTATTTGCCTCTAAGCAGGAATATATATGGAATATATATTACAGTTTTATTATTATTATTATTGGTTTGTGGGATCTTAGTTCCCAAAACAGGGGTTGAATCTGGGCCCCCAGCAGTGAAAGCACAGAATCTTAACCACTGGACTGCCAGACAATTCCTTATATCACAGTTTTCTTCCTTCTCTCCCTCCCTCCCTTTTTCTTTCCCTTTTTCTCTTTCTTTCATGTGGGATCTTAATTCTGGGAAATGAAATGAAATGTTAGTCGCTCAGTCGTGTCCGACTCTTTGTGACCCCATGAACTGTAGCCCGCCAGGCTCCTCTGTTCATGGAATTTTCCAGGGCAAGAACACCGGAGTGGGTTGCTGTTCCCTTCTCCAAGGGATCTTCCCAACCCAGGGACCCAACCTGGGTCTCCTGCATCTCCTGCATTGGCAAGCGGGTTCTTTACTGTTAACCACCTTTGAAGCTTATAATAGGTTACTGGTCTTTATTTTTTTTTTTTATCTCTCTGTATATTGGATGTGTTAAAATTTGGTCACTGATGTGTGTCAGTTCAGTTCAGTCGCTCAGTCATGTCCACCTCTTTGTGACCCCATGGACTGCAGCATGCCAGGCTTCCCTGTCCATAACCAACTCCTGGAACTTACTCAAACTCAGGTCCATCGAGTCAGTAATGCTTTCCAACCATCTCTGTCGTCCCCTTCTCCTCCCACCTTCAATCTTTCCCAGCATCAGGGTCTTTTCAAATGAGTCAGTTCTTCGCATCAGGTGGCCAAAGTNAAAAATATTTGCAACATATCCAATATGGAGTTAATATCCAAAAAATACATGATACTCATACAATTTAATAGCAAAAACCCAAATAGCTCAGTTTAAAAATAGATGAAGTACTTGAATAAGTGTTTTTTCCAAGGAAGACATTTAAATGGCCAACAAGTACATGACAAGGTGCTCAACATCACTTAGTCATCAGGGAAACTCAAATGAAAACTACAATGAAATACTGCCTTATACTTGTTAGAATATCTATTATCAAAAAATAAGAGAAAACAAATGCTGGAAAAAAGGAACCTTGGTAGACTGTTGGTGGGAATGTAAACTGGTATAGCCACCATGGAAAGCAGTATGGAGATCCTTCATGAAATTAAAAATAGAACTACCATATGAATCAGCAATCTCACTTCAGGTATATATCTAAAGAAAATGAAATCATTATTTGGAAGAGATATCTGTACCCTCATGTTTATTTTAACATGATTCATAATAGCCACAGTATGAAAACAACACAGTGTTCATGGATGAACACATGAATAAAGAAAATGTGATGTTTTGACAATTTGTTGGATTGTATTTGGATGATGAATTAATAAATAAAATGTACTTAAAGAAAATATAGAATATATGTATACAATGAAATATCATTCAGCCTTTAAAAAGAAGGAAAATCTTCCATTTGTGGCAGCATGGTTGAAACTGAAGGAAATTATGCTAAGTAAAATAAACCAGAAAGATAATGAAAAATACTGCATGGAACACATATATGCAATCTAAAAAAAAAGCCAAACACATAGAATAGACAGTAGACTGGTTGTTGCTAATGACTAGGAGGGAGAGAAATAGGGAGAAGCAGGTAAGAGTACAAATTTTCACTTATAAGATAAATAAGGTCTGAGGATCTAAGGTATAAAATGATGATCGTAGTTGATAATACTGTGGATTTAATTCAAATTTGCTGAGAGTAGAACTTGTGTTTTCACTAAAAAAAGAAATGTTCAGTGACTTGATGGTAGGAATCCTTTCACAATGCAAATGTGAATCATGTTGAAAAATCACATCATGTTGAATACGTCACATCAATAAAGCCAAAAAAGGATATAATCCCATGGAGACAAAGTATCTCCCTACACTTAACTTTCTATTTGTAAGAATAAAAATATACAACTTTACCATGGAATGATTTGACACTTACCATCTTAATTAAGTGCTCAAACTTGGCATTGCCAATAGTAAAACAATTTGATTTTATGTGTCACCTGATGTAATATTAGACTTTGCCCTGCTTCATTCTGTACTCCAAGGCCAAATTTGCATGTTACTCCAGGTGTTTCTTGACTTCCTACTTTTGCATTCCAGTCCCCTATAATGAAAAGGACATCTTTTTTGGGTGTTGGTTCTAAAAGGTCTTGTAGGTCTTCATAGAACGGTTCAGCTTCAGCTTCTTCAGCATTACTGGTTGGGGCATAGACTTGGATTACCGTGATATTGAATGGTTTGCTTTGGAAACAAACAGATTATTCTATTGTTTTTGAGATTGCATCCAAGTACTGCATTTTGGACTCTCTTTCTTGATTATGAGGGATACTCCATTTCTTCTAAGGGAAATGCTGTGTGTAGCTGTAGTTTACTGGACTGAGAGACCCTTTTATAAGAAAAAGTCTGGATTCATGGTTTTAATATTTGAATGCCAACAGCTTTTAAGTCTCCCTTCTACCCCTTCTCTCTCATGTCAGTCTCAAATAGATATGAAAATGACTGGAGAGAAGATGAAAAGGAGGCTGGTTTGGGGTTTCTTCATTGCTTGGGAGGCAGCTGGGGTGTAGGTTCCAGCTCCTGGTTTGAGCGTCTGTCCGCACCAAAGGAGGGAGCACTTGGGCTTTCTCAGTTGCTCTCCCTCTGAACTTGTTAGCTGTCAGCTTCCCTCTGGGTGGGACGACCACTACTCTCTCTACTTGGTGAAGGCCAAGCCAGGCCAGATCTCTAGCTGTGGGTTTGAGTGTATTGTGCTTTGAAGAAAGGTAATCAGTGAGGAAAAAGAAGAATGAAATGAGAGAATGCCTTTATCTATAAAATAGCTGACAAGTATTCTTTCAACACATTTAAAAAATATTTATTTATGGCTGTGCTGGCTTTTTGTTGCTCTTCGTGGGCTTTCTCTAGTTCTCAATGAGCAGGGATTCTCATTGTGGTCGTTTCTCTTGTTGCAGAGCACAAGCTCTATGGTGTGTGGGCTTCAGTAGTTGCAGCATGTGGACTCAGTCGTTGTGGCTCATGGACTCTAGAGCGAGCATTTAGTAGTTGTGGCACAAGGACTTAGTTCCTCTGCAGCACGTGGAATCTTCCCAGACCAGAGATTGAACCCATGATGCGGATTCTTATCCACCATACCATGAGGGAGGTCCCTCAGGACATTTCTGACAAATGTTTGACAAGGTGGCTATATGGATGGCCAACAGTCCTATGTCACCATTTTTTCTAGGGTGCTCTGGAGGAGGAAGCTCATTCATTTATAGGGTACTTATCTTTGATCCTTTATATATCAACGGAAAATAAGTCTGCTTTAGTGTCCATTATAATCCTTTGTTTTAAGGCCAATTAGAAGACTTATAATTACTAAGGAAAGACATTTGACTTTATCAGTTAAGAATAGCATTTAGGGCTTTCACTTGACTAATTTTTGTGTTAGAATTGTGAAACTGTTTTGAGAGCAGACAGCATAAAATTTCAATCTCAATAAGGATTAAGGCTAAACATTTTAAGTGTGGTTGGAGATTGCAGCTACGTAAGATGCAGAATGGAATCATTCCATGATTTCCATTGACATTGGTGAATTTGCAATGAATAAAGGAAGTAGTAATAGGTTCATGGATACAATTCTTGAAGAGCCACCAAGAGATCTAAAATCTCACTGAAACACTTAGCCAAGATGCCTTTCTTATCTGTAGTATGATGAGGTTAATGGTGTTGATTTTCTTCTTTTTGCTTTGTTTCCTACCATTATTGTGTATTACTTTCACACATTTTTTTAAATGCTGGACAGATTTTTACTTTGAAAATTTTGATATTTTTATCTTTAAAATTTTTAGTAAATTTTGCAGATTTTCAGAAAAATGAAGAAGGAACTTGAACATAATATATTTTTCATGTGATAATAAGTATTATGTCACTAATTCTTTTGCCCTATTCTAATTTACATATTGTTTTAAAAGCTGTTTGTATGTTGTTTTTAGGCACATGATTTGTAGTTGCTTTGATGAATAATTGTTATGTTTGTGGTTGTTATATGGTAGGGATGGCTGAATGAAAAAAATGGTAATTCATCTATACATAAATGAAAAAGCTGCTCTAGGTAAGTAATTAATGATTTATTTAAACAATGGCTCTTGACAGGTTCTGTTGCCAAAAACTTCTTCACCAAATCAAAACTTTCCATTCCAGAACTCTCCTATATATGGTAAGTACAATTAATGCCTTGTAGTTTCATACTGTTATCCATAGCCATCCCTTAGCTCCTACTTTTGCATTTTAAAGCAATAATGTTTTGAATTTTTTAAAAATAAACTAAGAGTATGACTAGAACTTAAATTATTATTGCTGTGAAGATTATTATATGAAAAGCACAATGAATAGTGTCTGGAATATATTATTCACTATTTTGCTCATTTAAAAAGTAATTTCCTGATTAGTATCCTCACCTAGATGCCTTTTCAATATAAGCAGTTGTATGAGCATATGAGAATTTCCATCTTGTGTATTTTCAGATTTTTCTACTTCATGTGCTGCACATAACTAGAGAACCTTGAAACGCTATTCTTTATAATATTTTATGAGGCCAGGTGAACAGAAGGTCCACAGATATTTTGGAATTAAGTTAAATTTGACTATTCTTGCTGCCTCTGAGTTTCATAAATTTGGCTCATGTTTATCAGCTGGACCCTGGTTCAGACTTGCAGCTATGGTGCGCTCTGTACCTTGCTGCCGTGCCAGACGCATCCCTGGCTCCAGAAGGGCTTCACAAGCTGGTCCAGATGGCTCTGTTTGCTTTTATGAAAGCGTTTGGTGCTTCTATAAGCTCCTGGCTGCGTGTGGGCTGTTCTTCCTTGAGACTGAGTGGGAGACCATGCTGCTATAAATATATAATTAAAGTATTGGAATATTTATGTAGAACTTTTTAGATGAGGATTTACAAAAAATTATAGTGGGATTTAAAATTACTTGTCATGTTTTGTGCATCATATTGAAAAACTATTCCATTGACACTTGTAAATGCTACTGTATCTGGGATCCTGAGCTGGCTTTCGGTTCTTCAGCAATATATTCTAACATTAAAGAAAAATGGCAAACCTTATTAGGCTTTAAAGCTTGGGAAAAAAAGAAGTTACCATTTTGTAAAGAACACAGTCTGTTTCGACAGAATTCCCAGTGTTAACATTATCAGCATGACGGTTCCTATCTTTTGTTAAGACATATCCACAGAAGTTTTGTGGGCCTCTCTCCACCCATCGTTTAAAAAAGTTCCCTGGTTCCTTACCCTGGGGACCTGGTACTTTCTGAATATTCCAGGGGGAGGTGGGTGTGAAGTTCCAAAGGAAAGTTCCAGAGCTTACCTTCCATGGTTTTTCTTTCAAGTAGAAAAAAATATGCCTTCTCTCTCTGCTTGTCCTAACACAGGCGTATTTGTCTCTGTACGCCTAAGAGGCTGGTTGAGCTTATGGGGTCTTAGTTGTTTTGGCAAATAGGTCTCTGCTTTTCAGTGGAAAACAATGACTGAAGCAAAGATAAGCCTTTTCAAGCCTCTCCCTTTCTTACTTTCCATCTCATCTGGTTCCAGCCTTCTCTAGTTGCTATTTTTATCTGAAAACATAATTCAACAAGTATTTACTGAGCTTATTTGTATTTTTCCAGGAGAAAATTTTCAAGCAAATATTTGATGCAACATTTATGTGACTTGAAATGTTTAAGGTTTTTCCTTAAAGCTGAAAAATGAAGTGCTTGTATCTGAGTTTGGGTAATTGAGTAATGGCCAGGACACTGATGAAAGGGCAGGGCCAGGTGAAAGGGCAGGGCCAGCCCTTCCTCCAACTATTTCAAGTGCCAGGCTCGGGCACTTCTCACCAGGCATTTATTGAATGAGTGTCAACTAACTGTGAAATTGTGGGCATCCTGTTCCTTTTCATCCCATAGTTTTTTGCTTGTGCATTCTCTTAGAAAAACAGATCTATAGGAGAACTTGAAGACTTTAAATTTTTATTTATAAAGTGCTACTCATGCTCGTGGTGTTGATTTTTCTTCCTCTGTGTGGCCTCCTGAGATTTTATATGAATTTGGGGGATCCTGCAGGGCTACCACCAGGGAGCCTAGGAGTTGTGTTTGCATGTTTGAGGCTGAACAACTTTACCTCTGAGCCCCATGTTAGGCTCTCATGATATCTGCTATATTTAGGGAACTGAGTGATGCCGACTGCGATGGAGCCCTGACCCTGCCAGAGTTCTGTGCTGCATTTCATCTCATTGTGGCCCGAAAGAACGGCTACCCATTGCCTGAGGGCCTGCCTCCAACTCTGCAGCCAGAGTACCTGCAAGCAGGTAAGGCCTGGTCATAAATCCCAAACCTTAGGTGTTTCCCATCCTGACCTTATAAGAAACTTTTGCTTTTTAAGATGATGTCCACATACTTTGAGGAGTTCTTTGTATCTATAGTTACTTTCTTTAACTGGTATTAGACTCACAACTTATCATGTGACTCATAGGGATGATCTGGGTAAGTGTGAGTACTGTCTGGATGGATTTAAACCAAGGTCACTTCAGTTCAGTTCAGTCTATCAGTCGTGTCCGTCTCTTTGCGACCCCATGAGCTACAGCACGCCAGGCCTCCCTGTCCAACACTAACTCCCGGAGCCCACCCAAACTCATGTCCATTGAGTCAGTATTGCCATCCAACCATCTCATCCTCTGTTGTCCCCTTCTCCTCCTGCCCTCAATCTTTCCTAGCATCAGGGTCTTTTCAAATGAGTCAGCTCTTCGCATCTTTCATAAAAATTGTGGACCAGCCAACTCCTGAACCCCCAGCTGATAAAAACATGAAGAGGAAGATCTTCCTTTAGAGCCAGTGCTGACTTGGCATCTTCAGGCCAATTCTGGTGTCCCTAAGTGATCTTGGGCAATGGAATGGACTAGGATTCTTGTACCTAATAAAAAAGTTTAAAAATTCCATGCAGTAAAATGTATGAAAGGCTGTAATCTTAAAGGTACACTTAATTTTTTTCATGTATTCACCCATATAACTGCAACCAGATGAAAGATACAGAACATCCTAGCATGCTAGAAAGTTGGAATAGAACTCTCTTTGTCTTTTTCATTAATTAACAGCAGTCCCCAATCCTCTGGAGAGGAAAGAGTTACAATGAGTCCAACATTTGTATTAACTTCTTTGGAAGATTGAAAAAATTACTAGTGCCTTTTGACCATTCAAAGGCAATGGGCTGATTTCTGATGTGAATTCTATTACTCATAGAGGTATAGCTTCCTTTGAAAGAAACAGCTGTCCAGGAACAGCTGGTGGTTTCAATAGCAATTCCCACTTTTTAGGGAGGATCTCTAAAACATGATAGCTTAGTCACTGATGATTATTGGCAAGAGGGAACCAGTGTCTAAAGAAAATGTGATTAGTCATTAATAGAGCATAAATTTTGTGGTTAGATCTGGAAGAGATCTTAGATTATCTTGTCTTGTCCCCTCCTCATAAAGGCATGAGATTCAAAGTGACCAGTTACCTATCTAAGTCAGTCTTGAGATCACTGACTCTTAAATATTAATAAAAAAGTCTGTCATTCTGTGGTATGTACTAATGGGTGGAGGCTCAACCAGAGGGAAGAATGTCTGGTGCCAGGGACAGGTAAAAAAATTGGGGGAAGCATGACCCATAGGATCATGCCCAGAGGTCCTCAGAAAACGTATGAAGGGGAGGGTTCACAGAGCAAATGCAACTACATATTTCAGAACTTGGACTTTGCTTATAGCAGCTGCTTTCTGACACCAGTGGACTGTAACTCCAGCCTGCTCCCTTTCCTTACAGGCTTGGGGAGACTGTCAGGAGTCCTTAGGAACTAGTTTGCAAGTGGGCAGCATGATACACTGCTGTATTTCCTCTTCAGTGTCTCTCTCTGTGTCCCTTTCTCTGTCTCATTCTCCTCTCTCATTCCATTTTGGGTTTTTTTTTCTTTATTTTAATTGGAGGCTAATTACTTTACAATACTGTGGTTTTTGCCATACATTCACATGAATCAGCCATGGGTGTACATGTGTTCTCCATCCTGACCCTCCCTCTCACCTCCCTCCCCATCCCATCCCTCAGGGTCATCCCAGTGCACCAGCCCTGAGCACCCTGTCTCATGCATTGAATCTGGACTGGTGATCTATTTCACATATGATAATATACATGTTTCAATGCTATTCTCTCAAATCATCCTACCCTCGCCTTCTCCCAGAGTCCAAAAAGTCTGCTGAAGTAAGCCAGAAAGATAAAGACCAATACAGTATACTAACACATACATATGGAATTTAGAAAGATGGTAACGATAACCCTATATGCAAAACAGAAAAAGAGACTCAGATGTATAGAACAGACTTTTGGACT